TTCAGCTCACTAATGCCTAAGGTATCGATGTTTATGTGTTCCATTTCATTTTTTGACAATTTCCAATTTTCCTAGATTCATACTTTGTACAATCCATGTTCTGATTACTAATGGATGTTTACAGCTGTTTCTCTTCATTTTGAGCTGTGCCCCATCAGCAAATGAAGGTCTCCTGGGCTTTTTTCCCACGAGCTTTAGTCCATTCACTTTATCACGGTCAGCTCTACTTTGAGGAGACAGCTCTTCTCCAGTCGCATTTTGAGTGTCTTCCAACCTGAGGGGCTCATTTTCCGGCACTATATCTGACAGTGTTTCTCTGCTTTTTATAAGGTTTTCAGTGACTAAATATTCGGAAGTAGTTGATCACTCTTTCTTCCTAGTCTGTCTTTGTCTGGAAGCTCATCTGAAACCTGTCCACCATGGGTGACCCTGCTGGTATTTAAAATACCAGTGACATAGGTTTCAGAATCACAGCAAATCACAAGCCACCACAGTATGACAAACTGACAGACGAGTGGTGTAATGTAATACTCCAAAAACTGCACCAAACCATCACTCACCGACACTCTCTACTTTCTCAGATGGATTCAATAATCCATTGCAAATGGCTACACAGACTCAAACACCAAACTCGGAGCTCTGGAGTTTATTAAGGAAGTTAGTTCAGGGTCAGAAATGCCCAGGGCATTGTTATTCCAGTCAGCTGCTGATAATGCCATGCCGCAGGACCCACCACTGCACCATAAACCTTAGCCTAAAGGCACTCAAACCCAGCTCCCCCACTTCAGTGCCTGGAAGCACCTCAGTCTGCAAGCAAACCTCCTGCCCAAAGCCATTCAGCTTCCCTCGCTCTGTGGGCTGGGAGGCCCACTGCTCTGTCTCGTGCTCTGGCTCTTGGTTCTACTGCTGTTCCTCTGCCCCTCCTCCAGTGTCCCAGCTTTCTGTCCTGTGTCCAGAAGGTTCGGTGCGGAGCGATCTTGGCGTCCAAATGGTGCGTTCCCCTCTGATAATACTGAGATCCCCCCTCTGCTCTGAGATTGCTCATTTTTAAACCCATGCTAGAATTCAAGTTTTCACAGTTACAATGAACTCTAATATCCACAGCTGATCCTGTCATTCTTTCAGTATCTTCTCCCACCTTCTCTTACCCTGACCCAACAGGGCAAAAACATGGTTTGATGGGAGTTACAGACCACGGCTAGAAGAGACATTAGATCATTCACTACACCACAAATATGTTGCCTGATTTCTTGACTCCTGCTTTCAGAATCATTGATTATGGAACCAAGCTATATGAAATCTTTGATAACTTCAGTCTTTTCTCTGTTTATCATGATGTTGTTTATTAGGTCAGTTGTGAGAATTTCCATTTTTTTAATGTTCAGTTGCAATCCATACTGAAGACTGTAGTCTTTGATCTTCATCAATAAGCATTTCAAGTCTTCTTTGCTTCCAGGAAGCAAGGGTGTATCATCTTCATGTCTCAGATTGTCAGTGAATCTCCCTTCAATCCTGATGCCATGTTCTTCATATAATCCAGCTTCCTGGATTATGCGCTCAGCATACAGAATGAATAAGTATGGTGACAGAACACAACACTGGCTCACATCTTTCCTGATTTTAAACCACCCTCCGTATACTGTTCGAGTGACTGCTTTTTGGTCTGTATACTGGTTCCTCATGAGCACAATTAAGTGTTCTGAAATTCCCATTCTCTACAGTGTTATCTAAGGAGCTCTGGTAGCATAGTGGTTATGAGTCGGGATGTGAACCGCAACGTCAGCAGTTCGAAACTACCGGCTGTTTCACGGGAGAAAGATGAGGCTTTCTGCTCCCATTAAGATTTATAGCCTCGGAAACCTTGTACAGGGTTGCTATGAGTCGGAACTGACTCCACGGCACGTGACCACCACCACCACAGTGTTATCTATAGTTTTCTGTAATCCACATAGTTAAATGTCATTGTATAGTCAGTATAGTACATGTAATCATCTTTCTGCTGTTCTCTGTTTCAGCCAAGATCCATTTGGTAGCAGCAGTGATAATAATCTTCATTCCATATCTTCTTAATGAGTCCGTCTTGAATTTATCAGCTCCCTGTTGATGTACTGCTACAACCATTTTTGCGTTCTTTTCAGCAGAATTTTTCTTGCATGTGATAATAGTGATACTGTTTAATGATTTCCATGTTGCATTGGGTGACACTTTTGGAATGGGCACAGATAAGGATCTCTTCAGTCAGTTGGACAGGTCAGGTCTTCCACATGTCTTAGCATAGATGAGTGAGCGCTTCCGGTGCTGCTTCAGTTTGTTGAAACAGTTCCGTTTGTAATCCATCAATTCCAGGAGACTTTCTTAAGCCAACGCCTTCAGTGCAGTTTGGACTTTGTCCTTCAGTACCACAGTTTCTTGATAATATGCTACCTCTTGCAGTGGTTGAACATTGACTAATTCTTTTTGGAACGATGTCTCTGTGTATTTATTCCTTCCATCTATTTTCTTTGGATGCTTCCTGTGTCATTTAATATTTTACCCATAGAATCGTTCAGTATTGCAAGAAAAGGCTTGAATTTTCCCCCGTTTCTTTCAGCTCGAGGAACACTGAGCATGTTCTTCTTTTTTGCTTTTATACAATTCATTATAGTCATTTGCTTTGTCTTCTCAAACTTTCCTTTGAAATTTTCTGTTCAGCTCTTTTACTTTATCATTTCTTTAAGTTGCTTTAGCTTCTGTATCTTTGAGAGCAGGTTTCAGAGTCTCTTCTGACATCTGTTTTGGTCTTTTCTTTCTTTCCTGTCTTTTTAATGACTTTGTACTTCCTTCATGTAGGATTTGTGTGTGTGTCCTTTGATTATCTTGTTGTTGTTAAGTGCCATCGAGTCTATTCCGACCCATAGTGACCCTGTTTAGGATTTCTAAGGAGCAGCTGGTGAGCTTGAACTACTGACTTTGCAGTTCAAACAACTTTGCAGTCTGACACATTAGCCCACAGTGCCACACCAGGACTTATCTTACAAAACTATAATTGTCTTCACTATATTTTTCTGTGTTAACAGTATTAATTTGTCAAAGGTAAAAATGTTCAAAATACCAAATTTTTTTGCATTTCTTCCTTAATATTCTAAAATGCTTAAGCTACTACAGTGGCTTCAAAGAGGTGTATTCATTGATGTTCTTGATGTCATCCCACAACTCTTCTGGTCTTCAGTTATTAGTGTCTGATGCATTCATCTGTTCTCTAAATTCATTCGGGATCTGCTCAAGGTCATACTTTGGCTCTCATGGACTTGTTTTCATCTTCTTCAGCTTCAGCCTGAACTTACATATGAAGAACAGATATCAGTTCCACAGTCAGCCCCTGGCCTTGTATTGGCGGATGATATTGAGCTTCTCCATCATCTCCTCCCACATCTATAGTTATTTTAATTTCTGTTTCTTGTGTCTGGTAAGGTCTACTACGAATATAGTGATTATTTATGTTGTTGAAAAAAGGTGGGAGGGGACAAACTGACAGATGTGTGGTAGAAGTGGATATTTAGTAAAGCAATTAAAGAAAGATGTTTTGGGATGATCCCATATTCATTGAATCAGTTCTTTTAATCTAAATATCTGTGGAAGAAGGATTATGGACGAGCACATTACACCAGCACATTACACTAGACATAAATGGGTATGCCCTGCCTTGCTGATGTCCTGCAGAGCTCTCTCTCCCAGGTCTGTAGACCAAACCTAGCCTCTTGACCTTCCTGAAAACTCCGCTGCATCGAATCCTTCATCTCTTTGTAACACAGGGTGCACATTGGGCTGCATTTTGCTGAAAGCCTCATAGGGCCTGAGAGAGCCTTGTCTTACTCACCACTATGTCCCTAGGGTCTGGTCAGAGTACTTATTTGTAGCAGCAACCAATGGGCGCCAACTTCTCAACCTGCGTTCATGAATTTACATTTCAGAGTCTTCTCTGTGAGTAGCCAGAAGGAACCTCATGGCCCTGTCCCTTGTATGCTAGACTGTTTTCCGAGGTCAACTCTAGGTGATCTCTCCTTCCTGGTGTCTTTACCAATTCTCAGGACTGATGTCCTAGTAGTTAACTTCTTAACGGGATCAGCCCAGGTGGCTTCTTCTCTTGCTTCAGTGAGAGCTAAAAAGACAATTTATGGATTAACTTCAATTAGGTCTGGACCTAACTTCAAAAAGTACTGGCTTTACCAGTCTCAATTTTCATGTTGTTTATAGAATAAACCTCAGAAAACCCTGTCTTTGTCTTCCACAGTGGTCATCTCCATCGGAAGCAACTCAAAGTTTCATTTCAAAAGAAATTTGGTTGGCACCCCCGCAGTTCTACGAAATAAGAAGACTAGAAAACTTTGCCTCTCTCTCAGACTTGTACCAGTTTTGTTTGGATCGTGGATTAGAAGGGAGGGAAAGATGGCTGCCGATCTCACTCTTAGCTGCTGATGGGGCACTCCAGCTTTTGCCAGGTAAGTAGTGACATGTCATTGCTTTTGCTAGTGTTCCTATGTAAGGCACTGAACTGAACATCAGTATTGTCCAACCTAAGGACACAAATTTCAGTTTGCACTTAAGACCCCTAAGGGGCATTTATCACATATATATGTATGCATTTGTGGAAATACATTTCCAAATCATTGCAAAGTTCTTTCTCGTACAGTAGCTAATTTTTTTTTTTTTTTTTCACATTTTCATTTTGAATTACTGAGAACCTGAAAGTTTTTAATTTGATTGAATTCTGGAGAGCTTGTTGGCAGTTGTTTTTTAAGTGAACCTGAGCTGGAGCATTTGTGGAGTTCAGCGCAGGGCTCTGTGACCTGGCTGGCTTCACTGCTTCCTCAGGTCCTCAGAATAGCGATTAGATTTATTCCTCTTCCGTAGTGGGGACAATTCAGCAATTCTCAAGTGTAAATGATTTTTACACTTTGAACCTAAAATGATCAGAGTAATCCGTATTGAAATACTATAGCAGGTGGATACCAAGACCACACTATCTGTATCAGTACTGAATAGGATAATCATGAACTATGATGAAAGTTAGCATTCCTGATGAAAACATGCCAGTCAAAAATGTTTATGTTCTAAAAAAAAAAACACTTGGTAGGAGCTGGGGTGTCAGGTAAGAAAAATACTAGAACTACAAGAAAGAAATGTATAAGCTCACAGAAGTATGGTTATTTCAGTTCCAAACCCATGAACTAGATAAAAGTCAATGCTGACTTATATGTCATCAGTGTATTGGAATGTTTTGTGTGACACTGAAATTGTATTGTTTTCCAGGAGATGAGCTCTACTTGGAAGATTCAGACTATTTAGAAAAGCCTTTATCCACTGAGAAAAAGATTGAAGAAATCATGAAGGAAGGCAAGACATTTCACCGAGTAGTATTGCACGATCGCCATCTTTATAGTGTCCATGTGACTGTTCAGCCCAAATCTAAACATGTGTACCCCAAGACCTATGTAGTGGGTAAGAGTCGGATGTAGGCTGTTGCCGCTTTGGAAGGTGGCCTCTTGGACATAGTCCTTGTGGATAAGGGTTGATGAAACTTGCTTGAAACCTAAGGAATGCTGTGCCTATAAAAGTTGTAACCCATTCTTTCTTATTTCAAGTGCATTACCAGGCTCTCTTGCTGATTTTATTCCTTAAATCACGTTTGCCACAACTGTAAAGTATTAATGATCTTGTTACTAAAGTAAGAAGCAAAATGTTCATAAGAACCTCTATTTCTGTATTACTTTTATTACTGCAAAAGTTTAAGTAAGATGGTTTTCTGCCATTGTTTTTCT